AAAGAGTTTTTAGGAAGATAGTATTCAACAATACATGGCAAATATGATGCCTGGCATGTCATAAGTACTCAATAAATGGCATTTTATTGCTAATAACACAGACAGTGGCGATAAGTGTGACATCAGAGTGGAAGACATCTGAGCAGGGGAATGGTTTTAGCTCTCATTGGTGTATGAGCCAAAGAGTCAGTGGAATACAGTTCCAAATTTGTTGATCCCTAGCTCAGACATCTTCAGTGCCTCCTTCCAGCTTACAGAGCAAAGTCTAATTTACCATACAGAGGCTAGCAACTTCTCGTTTCTGTGCTCTTGCTCCAACTTATTTTTCTGAATTTTCCCCCAATAGTCTGCTTTATACATTACATGCACTACATATATCTATACACTTCATCCACTAAAATGAAACTCGACATTGTTTCTCTACAGGCCTTTAACTTTCTAATCTTTATTTTCTTTACGTCTTCCCTAAGCCTAGAATACTTCTCCAAATTCTATCCACCCTTCAAGGAGGTCACCTCTTCCATGAAGTTGTTTCTAAAGTCCTCAGAAGTACTTAATATTCTTCTTTCTGAAAGTTTATTTAAAAAATTTTACTATGTCTTTTATAGAACTTATTTTATAACTACAATATATTTAGATCAGTGTTATCCAGCTGCTCTCCACAGCACCTTTGGGATTCCACAGAGGAGGTCCAGGAACCTCTCTCCTTGGGAGTGGGAAATGGAGCAGCACCTTTGGGGAAAGAAAACAACCCAAACCCCAAGCATTTACTCGAACACAACAGAGCTCAACTCACCGAGCCCACCTCCTCGCCTGGCTTATCTCAGCTCCTCTGTTGGATCAGCCACAGCTGACAAGCCAAGAGAGAGAGAGAGAGAGAGCCCCTGCTTTCCCTAGGGAATCCTCAATGCCTGTGTAAGTCAGCGATGACACCTTCATTGTCACTTTTCATTTCAACCAGTCTCTTGGCTCCACTTGCTCTGAGCAGTTTTAATTTCCTGCCAGCACAGTGGCACAGTTTGCTGGCATTTTCTGTGGGATGTTTTCCATTAAGAGCCTGAGGAGTGCCAGGGTTCTGGCTGATGGTAAGCATGAGGCTGCCAGAGAAATGCCAGGAGGCCCTCTCCGTTCTGGAAGGCATCTCGGCCTGACACCCCACCTCCTGTGAACTGTGGGCTGAGGCACACGCGTATGGGGAATTCTCCACAGCTATCACTGTTCTGACAAATACCAACGTGTATGCAAAGAAACCTGAAAACTACTAGGGCATAGATCCCTGAACATGGCCACGAACAGTTAAGCAGGAAAATGCTCGGATGGAACTCACTAAATAGACATGTTAAGCCCAGCTCCTGATAATGGATACACCTGATAACCACGGCACACTAATGGAACACATCCAGGGATCATCAAACATCCACTAATTAAATAAAATATTTTCCTGTATCTCATAAAAAAAGAGAGTCAATGAAATGGGCAAGTGTGCAGAGCAGAGATCACAACTCAAATGCAGCGAACGAATGAAGTGAGCTGGTCTAAGCACATCGCACATCGTGTGAATGGGGGGAACTCTGGGGAAGTGGGAGGCACACACTCTCCAAAGAGGGAGGCTGCTGTTCTGCTTGAGACGATTGCTGCCATTCCAAAACCCGGCCCAGCGTCACTAGATCTCCCGTTTTGTTTTGTCAAAAGAAGCCAGAAATTTCTCAGTGTCTAAATGTCAAGAACAATATTCAAGTTAACAAACAAATTGAACACATGCAGAGGTCAGATTGTGGCTTGTTAGCTGCCAGACTATGGAGAAAGAAGAGAGCTGAGGGTGGAGCCCTGAAGAACACCAGGATTAAAGGGGTGGGCAGGGAAAGAGGAGGGGTGCAAAGGCGGAGAACAGAGCAGGACTGGGAGGACCAGAAAGGGCTGAGGTCGAAGAAGCATCTCCAGAGGAGAAGGGGATAGACACCGTCGCAGGCGGTAAAGGGATCACGGTGGCCGACCGAGCAGATAGACCCGTTAGGAGCCGGGACCTCTTCTCGAGGCTGCAGATGTAATTACCAGTAAGGAGAAGGGACTTGATACCCAAAGAGATCATTCCAAGGTTAAAAATGAGGCAAGATGTCCAGCGGGAAAGAACAACACAATGTGGAATTCTATTGGAATCAGTCTCTTGGACCACGAAGAGGAGCCCTGAGGGCATCCAGTGAATTTCTTTTCAAAAGCAAAGGTGGCTTTTGGCAGCTTAACCATTCACTGGACAAAGTTCTGATGGCTGAAATTGGAGGCAGGTAAGAAACCAGAACACTTGCCCCAGGCTCCCCTCTTCAGGCAATCGGCTGATCATAACACGGAAAGGGAGAGCAAGATAAATAAAAATTCCAACGCTCTAGCCAGAAGTGAATTCTGAAATCTTTTATTTGTTTCCATGTAAATATCAATATTATTATTAGCTATATTATTAATATCAATATTAATACTCTCTAAGAGTCAGGAAAGCACTAAATACAAAATCAAGGCTTAAAACAGGGGACCCGCCCAGTATGCTTAAAAACAAATTATGACTTAGATCCCTTAAGTCATTCCCTAAGTAGAAAATCACTAAGTAACAGTTGATAACTGCTCTCAAAGCACTCACTAAGAGGACTGAGGGAAGACTGTTAGCATGTCCAAGGAGAAAAATACCCACATAGTAGAAGAGGTTGCATATCCCGACTCATAGCCACCGGCACAGGGACACTTCTCAAGTACTTCCAGTTAGCACTACGAGCATAGATTCTAGGGTGATCGTTTAACAAGGGTAGAGAGCAGGATTGAGAATTGGGGACTATTTGTCCAAAGTCATTTGGCTAGTGACTGAGTCAAGTTAGAATTCCAGTTTCCAGACTTCCCATTCAGTTCTGCTTCCACAGAACTCTGTTGTATCCAGAGAAAACTTCATCATCCCTTGGAAGGAATGACTTAAAAGAGACGTGCATGTTTCGATGAGTGGAAGGTGGGACAGTGAGGCTGCTGCATGGCAGAAATATCCCTGTGTGGCTGAAGGAGGCCAGAGTGGGAAGAGCAGGCCATGTGTACCCAAAGGGAGTGGGCACCTGCGAGGACAGGCCACAACACCAAAGACAAACACCCCACAAAACACCTGTGCTTAGGCCTGGAATGTGCACATCCAGGTGAAATACAGTCAGAAATTCCAAACTTAAAAAAAGTAAACATATGTTTTTCTTAAATATTATCTATAGTCATAAACTTATTAGATATTATTCACTGAGTAACATCAACTTTGTAGACCATAGTCAGCACACGCACACACGCGTGTGCGCACACACACACACATTTAAATCCTCTGAGTAGTTGAGACAGATTTATGGAATATCTTGTTCAGAACAATTGGTGTAAAGCATTTAGCCCAATGCCTGGTCCACAGTAGACCCTCTGTAAATATTCCCCTATGGTTATGATTATGGTTGTGTGAGTGCCTTGGCCACCAGTAGAGTTACCTTATGCACAATACTTCTAATTTAGCTTCTTTTTCTTTAGCACTATTTATGTCTCCACAACAGATTAAAATAGAAGGGTGAGAATATAATTGGAGATAGACAATTAAGAGGAGATGGAAAACTATGTAAGACAGAAAAAAAAAAAATTAAATGTGATGGAGACCACTGAGTGCAGGGCCAGCTGCCTTCCATTTTTCTGGAAATTCTGGAGACGTCACTGGGCTGCAGCCCAGCATGATTACTGTGACAACACAGAATCATCCAGAAAAAGTCTATGCTATGTTGTGCGCTATATTAAAACGGCAGGGAAATGTTGGCAAATTAAACAAATGTTGGCATTAAAACAAATTTTAGCCAAATTCGAGAATGTACACATTATCTAGAAATTTGACTTATGAAAAATCACATTTATCCACAATGCCATGAGCTTGATACATCAAGAGGAACATTTAAACTAAACATAAGGGGCTCTCATTCCCTTGAAAGCCTTGGTGTTGGCCGATTATGAGTCCTTCTAGTCTCAATAATGGATGAGCGATTGTATGTGATATGAGGGTGTTTCTAGAGAGATCATTGTTTTTCATAAGATACAATAGGCCCTCAGTGTCTTTGCCATAAAGTTGCCTCTCATAATGGAATTGCTCCATTTCTGAAACTAGCACTGTGGTGTGCGTGTACAAGGCATGGGCCTGAGTGTCATCAGCATAAGCTGGTGGGTGCATACATGTTCCCTTGCGTATCAGTGGCAAAGAATGTGTTTCCCTCCCCAGACTGTTTAAATTCTTACAAACCAGCTACCGATTCGATTTTTCACAATATCAGGTCCCCAGGATGGCTTTTTGAGAGGGGAACTGCTATTAAGAATATTTGGAGTCTGGGAAACCAAAGTGGTAAAGAAAAAAAAAAAAGCCCAGAGCGCAGAGTAATCCTTCTCTTCGCCAAGTCCAGATGGCTGTGCGCAAGTTGATTTAACTTCTCCCAGTGAGAGGCTTTTAGGCAGCAGGCCAACCGCAGCCGGTCCATCCCAGAGAGGCCGCTTCGGCTGCCAGGAGTAGGTCCACGCCACCTTCGGCCGAGGCACCACCCTCTCCCTGGTCCTCTGCACTTGGCCAAAGCCAGATGGTCAGATTTCCAGCAAATGCTGGTCCAGTGTCTTTTTCAATAAAGCAAGTTTATTATGACAACTTCCTAACCAATAGAAACAATGTGTATTAAGGGAGAGGCATCTATTTCCTTGTTCTGTAGAGCTGCCTTAAGGCTTGAGGGGTGAGGGCTAGGTGATTTAGAAGACACGAGGATAAATAAAATTAAATGATATGTCACGTAAGTCTTAAATATCCCTGAGTGGGGGCAGGGGAATCTTCTTCTGGCACGTCCTGTGTGACCATAGGTGGGGGCTGAGCTGAGACGACTCCTCCACTCCCAAGGAAGAAGCACTGTCCTATCCGCCCCCAGCGTGGCATTGGTGCTTGGTGCTCGGTGCCTGGCTTAGGTGTGGCCGTCAGGTCCTCATTCGGCACAGAACCCATCAGGATTTTGATGAATGAGAATTAACTCCCCACCGTTCACCTGGATGTCTGCACAGGAGGTATTGTGAGTGGTCACATTCAAGTAGACTTTGTCCTTGAAACCCAGAAAGGCCACGGTGATGGAGTCAACGAACGTGACCTTGCTTAGGTTGAAGAGCGGTTGCCGGTTTTTCCGGTAATGAAGGCCCAGGCTGAGCTCCTGGGAGAAGAAGCCCTTCAGGGAAATGAGATAAAACCCGTCGCATGTGATGGGGATCGAGTTGTCCTGCACCTTCATGGTTTCCTCCTTGCTTGGGGATGTGAGGATGAAGCCTTTCTCGTTGTCACACCCTAAGGAGGGGAAGGGGAGGAGGGATAAAGGAAGAAGAATGATTCCTTAGCACAGCTTTGGGCAACGACCTTCCCATGCGTCTAGAAACATAGGTAGAGCCCGCGGTAGGGAGAGATGTTGAGAAGGAGAGGAAGCGAGCATCCTGGAGGAGGCAGAGCCAGAACTAGTACCGAGGACAGTCCCCGATGGCGCAGGGGTTCAAGAACCGAGAGATTAAAGCAACAGGCGGTTGTCACAATGCATGTGTGGCAGAAAATGGGGCTTGGAGGCTCCCCTGATTTTCAGACCTGGAGAGCCTGGCAAGCTCAGGGCCTCCTTTCTTGTTCAATAGCTCACCCTGCGCAGGGGGTGGCCGGCTGGCGCTTGCAGGGCCCTGAGCACCACCACGCACAAAGGCAGTGCTTTGAGCTCCTCCCTTTGCCCTCCCCACCCTGTGAAGTGCACAATTTCCACATGCCCGGAGCCCTGGGCTTCCCAACAGGATTTACTGCTGGCTGTTGGCAGCCGCTGCTAAAGCTGAGACTCCGCTGCACACGGAAGGCCGGCGGCTCGGGCCCTGCTCAGAGGGAGCAGGTGGAGGAGCCAGGCCCGCCTCTCCCTTCCCCCTGCGCTGCTAGTTCTCCCTGGGAGGTGCCTCGGAGAGTCGCTTCCACAGGAAAAGGGAAAGGAGGAGACTCCTCCTCTGGTACCCTCGTGTGGCTCCATTCCAAGTGTAAGCCAAAGAGCCTAAATTTCTTTTCTTTTCAATCAGCCCCAATATGGCCAAGCCAGCACCTCTCAGACTCCCCACTCTGGCCCAGGCCCCGTGGCAGTAGGGAAACAGTAGGTCCCCACTGCTGGGCACAATTCAGTGATTCTTACTTTGTACCAGGCCCAGGGCGGGAGTGCTTTGAATTGGAAATGAAGAGCGCTTGTGGAGGGCAAGGTATAGTGCCCTCGGGCTCAGGAGAACTTGAGAAGCAAGTGAACAGCCTTGAAGAAACTACTGGTGGGTGTTCTAGTGTTAATCATGGATCCAAGCCGCGCGCTGCTGGTCAAGCATCCCCTGGAACTTCACATCTGGAGCCTCCCTCAACTCTCTTCAAGGTAAAATCTCGACCTATACCGGCAAATGGTGTGTCTCACAGTCAGATAGGCTTGTAGGAGGTAAAGCCTTAGTTTCCTTACCTTAAAAATAAGAATAATTCCTACTCAGAGGATGCCTGGAAGGATTAGTGAAGCATCTAAAGGACTTAATACAGTGACAAGCACAGATTTGGTAACTAATGACTCCCCTTTTCTTCTTTATATGTCTCCTTTGTCCCCAATAAAAACAACATGCAGGGTCCAGCAACTCCAGGATTTAACACTTCCCTACGTAGGGGTGAGATCTTGTGTTCTGGGGGAAATTAAGAGGCTGGAGAGAAGATTCTTTTTAAAAAAAAAAAATAAAACTTTCAACAATACTTACTGGTAAACTGTGCTCTGATGCTCTGAATTGGAGGGTACTGAGGCGGCACCTGGAGGAGGAAAAAGGACGTGTTTTTAGGAAAATAAAATAGTGAACAGATGGAATGGACAAGCCATATTCCGTGAAACAGATATGCAGGAGCCTCGAGGGGGAGCAGCTTGCCAAAGACTCGTTTTTTTCCCCGTGGAGATTAGACCCAGACTGCTCCCCTGCCCCTGGCTTTGCTATAACACCGCTTAAGATAAGTCAAGAGTGTTCTGCTCTTTCTTGGAAGCACCTAAGATCTGTGCTCAGCCCTGCCAAACTCTCCTTTGATGTATTGTTTTGGCTCACTGAGTTCCAATTTCCCAGTTCGGATATCGGAGCATCTAATAGTCATCTTGTCAAGGAGCCCATTTCAGCCACAAAGATCCATCCATCCATCCCCTCGCCAAGCAGGCTGTGACCATCCATCCGCCACGGCCACAGACTCCCAGAATACGGGGGGGATGGAGGGGGTGAATTCTGGAAGGCTCCTGGCTATTACCCAACAGTAACAGTGTTTTATTTTCAGGGCAGACAGGCAATAAAAACTGGTCTAATCCTTCAGAGTTCAGTGGATGTGAGTGTAGCATACTTTTAACATTGTTTTTTTCTCCCTTCTCCTTAACATCTTGAAAATCTAACTTGAACCCAGAGAGTAGTCAACAGCAAGAAAGAAGAGAGGAAGCCCGGAGGGGAAAATGTCTGCAGTAATTTGACCTTGAAGAGAGCAAAGAAGTTCAGTAAGAAGCAAAGCCTAAAGCATACGATGGGGGGGGGGAGGGGGAAGCAAAAGGCAGAACCACGTATAAAGTATATTGCTATGTATTAAAAAATAAAAATGATGCTTGCCCGGCCGGCGTGGCTCAGCGGTTGAACATCGGCCTATGATTCAGGAGATGGCAGTTCAATTACCAGTCAGGGCACATGCCCAGGTTGTGGGCTCGATCCCCAGTGGGGGGCGTGCAGGAGGCAGCCAATGAATGACTGTCATCATTGATGTTTCTCTCTCTCCCTCTTCCTTCCTCTCTGAAATCAATAAAGACATATTTAAATAAATTAATTAAATTAATTTAATTAAATTAAAAAATAATGCTTGCACAGGCATTGAATCTCTCTGAAAGGATACACAAAACACTGGTTGCAAGTATTGCCCCTGGAGAAAGGAACTGAAGCCTCAAGTCAAGAATGAAAGGGCCCCTCACTTTTCATGGTCGACTTTTTTATATTTTTCTAAGATTTTGTACCATCTGCTTATATGACCTACTAAAAACGGAAATCGGAAAAAGAAAAAAACCACTGCCTCTTGCGCCTGCCAAGAATAACAGCTCTCTCCCCATGATGCTTTTGGCGAGATGTCCTGACGGGAGGTGCGGGAGGGAATTTGTTTTCATCCCTGGGGTGTGGAATCCCTGCCTCCCACTGCCTGGCGCATGAGTAGCTGCAGTCAGGAGCATTCCTCTGGCGACTGCCCACACGGATGAGGAATCCCCTACCTCCCGCAGAAATGAAAAGCGCAAGCCTTACCAAGCAGAAACCGACAGGCCTCGGAGGCAGAAGGGAGACTTTCCAAGCCCTGCCTGCCAGTGCTGAGCACACGCAGAGAGGTGTTGACTCAGGTCGACTTGAGAAGTCTTTGGCTCCTTCCTCTTTCTGAGCTGTCTGTTGGGGCTGAATTGGCGTCCTTTGTGCAATGTTCCGGAAGAAGGCCTCTTAGAAAGCATATTACCCTCTCATCGTAATCCCTGGGGTAAGTCAATGCCCCGCTGCTGTCCAAGCAAGTCAGTCCTAGCCGGAAAGGCCTCCTCATTCGGTTCAGATAGCACAGGGCTCAGCCGGCCGTAACCCGGGTCCCAATGCCAGCCAGGCAGGGATGGTGTTGTCTTGGGCAAGTTTCACAGCTTCTCTAGACATCAGTTCTCTCATCTTTAAAAATTACTAGAAGATCGAGACAACCTTTTCAGCACTAACAGTCCACGAACCAGGTTTCTGAAGTTGCACCCTAACCGCCTCACCCCCAGGCTTACGTCAAGCCCTCTGATCCCAAAGCCCTCGTGATTGGATTATTTGACTGACTTTGCAGAATCTTCACATGGTTTCTGCAATTCAAAGAAATCTGCCACCGTTTTGAAGTGACCTGATGATGTAAGGGTGGTAGTGACCCAGGGGACATCCTCTGGGACCAAGAGGCTGAGAGGCAGCAAGGAAAGTTCAAGTCACTTCCTCTCTTGGGTAGAGCTACTGAAACCCTGGACTGAGGCTTTCTGTTCCCCCTCCCGAAGGTGGCTCAGTGTAAGAACGGGCATATTCTTAGAAATCTCTAACTGCCATCAGTGCCATTAAGTCTAGACAATGTTGTGAAATAAAATAAATGGTCCTTCCTCTTGTCCTTGCCCTGCCGTAACTTTTCCCCTCACCCTCCACACCTGACTAATGCACTCCGACCACCCCCCTGCCCAGGAGCAGCCCCACAGCGCCCCATTCCAGGTAGGCCCTCCATGGCCCGGCTCCAACCTCCTGGTCAAACGTCATTGCCACACACCCATCCTCTCTGCGCCTTACGCTCTAACCAACCATTTTCTCTAATCTCTTTTCCCTTGACTAGAACCTGGTAAGACGAGACAGGGAGCGCAGCCTTGAGGGTCAGATTCGGTTCAAATTGTGACTTCTCTAATTTCGTGAATTTGGAAACATCATATACCATTTCTGAGCGCTCATGCCTGGGAAAGTAAGGCGTGCTGCTATCGGAATATTCCCAGGAGCTGACTGTGGAGTTGGAAGAAGATAACATACGTGAAGGCACCCAGCACTTTGCCTGGTGCATGATGCTAAGCTTTTGAAAATACTTGTTTCCTTTGCTCTATGCGACAAGAATATGCCTCCGTCTGTGGGTTCTCTGTCATTCCTGTTTTCTTGGCTTCACTTATGACATCCCTCAAACCCAGGAGGGAAGCCTGAGCTCGGAGCCCTCCCTCTGCGCTTTCATGATGAGGTCATGGTGAGACTACCGCCCTGCCAATCTGCTGTGTGTGCCAACTTCTTCTTTCCTCCCAGCTTAGCCCTGAAGTGCACGCAGGAATGGGATATTAATAAAAACCTCCCTAGGGGTGCCTCCTCACTCCAAATTTGAATGGAGGGGAAAAACTACTTGTGTGGTATAATGAAAATTACCCTGGAATGGAGGGGTGGAGTTGGATCCCTTTCCTTCTCTGGCTTCAATGTCTTCATCTATTAAATACAAGGTTCAACTAGAAGATGACTTCTCGTGCACTCATGCTTCTGAGACAGTCGACTGACAGGAGTTTGGGGGTGGTGTGGGGTCTTCACACTTTTCCAGATTGAAGAAGCTTTATTGTTTAGCTTGTTCTTGTACAGAACTCCTCTGGGACCTTTGATATTTTCCATTTTCTTAGTATCTGGAGAAGACCTGAGGGTTTTGCTTTTCTTGATATTAAAAAAAAAGGCTATGTTTGTGTATGGGTAAAAAATATATATATCTTCTGATATTTACCCTTATGAAAGTATTTTTCTGAGGGTCCAAGATTAATTTGAATTATTTTCATCATCAATACTGAACAAGATTAAAATATTAGGTTTTAGATAGTTGTCAAAATATTCAGATATATCTTAAAATACCCCAGAGGTTTTCCAGAAGAGATCTCCTCAGCCAACCCTATAAGGTTTTCTGTGTAGTACAATTTGGCAAAACCTTTGGCCAGGCTCTGGTGAGGTGCAATTGACCTGACACGGGGCAGCAGCCCATGGGCAAGTACAAAGTTGGCAGCAAGCAGGTGCTGCAAAGAAGAGCCAGAAGTAGGTCCTTTTCTGGCCTCTCTCAGTACCTTGAGCACTGAGCTGCCTGGAAACAAAACTGGAAAATGTCTGATGTCCAGCATTTATCCAGCAGCCTTTACCATGCTCCCAAGAGCTCACCTTTGGAGAGAGTTTCTAATTCTGACTTACTGGTATGTGGCATGAGGCTGCCAACCTTATACTCGCTTGACATTTGTCCTGGAGAGGAGAATCTATGGCAGGAGGGGATGAGACGCAACAAGTATGAAACCAGGACATGGGCTCTACATTCCCTCTGGGGGCCTTGCCCTTCCTCACTTGATACCCAGCCACAATGTCAAGATCTTAGGTGGGACTCGGGTAGGGTGGGAGTCAGTGGAGCATGGTGGGGAGACAGATGGGGACTCCCCAGTTCACCATGCCACCTCCACTGGGATGTGAATCTCTCCTCCCCCTGCCTTGGGCTTCACGTCAATCAGAGGAGACCTAAGAGACCATGAAAGCACACCCTCACAAACTCTCAGGGTGTGCCTCAAGGAGCCTCTGCAGAGGAAGATGGAATTTTCTGTACTTAGTCACTACAGTAGGCTGGGAAGCTAAACTCTCATCCTGGGGCATTCAGTGTGTGCTCAGTGGAAACAGCCTCCTTACCAGAGGCAAGGCATTCGCTTCTCATCAGGGAAGTTCAGAACTCCACTCAGAGATAGGACTGAGAATGGGCAAAAACTGGTTCTTTGCCCAAGAAACCTTCCATGTTCAGACAAACCTTATCCCAAAATTTACATTTCGTAGAGATGAAGATGTGTGGCTTTGAAAATTTTGTTGAATAAAGAGTCTTTGGGGATCTAATGAACACAAAGAATAGTCGATTTAACTGTCATCCCAAACCTTCTCTTTCTCCTTCCCACACCCTTCACCACGGCTGTCAGCACCTTTTTGCTATAAGCTGTCTCTCAGTAGCCCTCATTCTCTTCTCTACTGCACCGTCCATGTGATATCCTAACCTAGCCCGCTCTCTCTAAACACTTCCACTCTTCTTGTCAAAATTACTTAGTAATGGCTATCCCACAGAGAGGCCCCTATTTACTGACCCTGTCCTCTCAATCTCAGAGAACAAAAACTATGGTTTCATTGTCCCAGATACTTAGCAATTAACATCCCTAAGAGGGATCTCAGTCTTGAGGTAAACAACCAAATGAACCAAAAGCATCCATGTGACATGAACACATCTTCAAA